AAACTTCTAATTTCCTAATTTTGTTGATGTCTATTTCCATATTACCCTTTGATAATTATAGGGACATTAAACAATCCGTTTTGTCATCGTTACTTTCACATAAATCTGGGTCGTAGTGAACATCTGATCTCAGTCAAATCTTCATAAATATGTCTTTAAATGTTTTTAGTCATCTGCAGATCTTACCGTCCATGTGCTGATAATGATTTTTGCTCTTAAGATGACTCCAGAGATAAATGACTCATTTTCATGTGATGGAAATAATGTTCCTAGAGGGTGTTGGAAGGATGCAATACAGATCCCTCCAGATGTCAAAATATCAGAAGAATTCACTAATTTTTTTTACAAAGCCAGACATGTGGACTTTTTATGCAGCACTACATATCAGTAGGGAAGATAYATAAGCCAACAATTTTAGTCTTACTGCACTTCTAAATAGTCACAAATTCTCAGAAGCAGCAGTGACAAGCTCAAACCCACATATTTTGATTCACTGTATGTCTGTCTGTGACTAATTTTCGTTTTCAGGAACATTTGGGTGGGCTAGAGAAATGCACCATAAGGAAAGAACTGGGGATGAGGGCCCAGATCTCAGGCGCTGTGCTTCCTCACAAYATACCAAAACACCACACCGGTGCCACTTGCACCTGCCAGAGGAAGGAAGAGTTATGGTCTTATTAAATCATGCATGAGGGAAAATCAAGTGTCATTGTACTGATTTCACCAGGACACTTTTTAACAGTTTAACCAGTGGCAGGTGGTTGCTTATTTCCACAGGTCTCCTGCAGTGTCTGAAAGTGACTGTGAGCTTTAAATAAATTGTCAAATCAGATCCATTTAGGGATCCTCAATGTATCTCAGGTTAAAGCTGCACTGCAAGAGACTCAGAAAAGGAGGCCATAAAARAAAGGAAGAAAAACCCCACAAAAACAAGGCAAATCAAAAGAARGTTCTCTGCCTGGATTCTCATCGACCATATTGGCTCGGACAAGCATTTCCATTTAAACTATTTACTAACAGGGGGCATTTACTGGAAAATTACAATGCAACATTAATTGGCAGGAAAGTAAAAGACAGGAAACAGAAAAGTACTCATTCCTCTTTGGAAGAGAGCTTTTCTGTCTTTTTTTGTTGCTGTTAAGTAACTCACATATTTGTTTTTACAAAGTAAGCCCCGTCAGTGAAAATTACTTTATGCTCCCTTGCTACTATACCAACAAAATGAAATCCAAGTTCTTGCATGATGTGACATGTAAACCATTCGCACTGGAGTGACTGCCAGAAATGAATGGAAAGTTTTTATCCTGAAGAAATACTCAAATAAAAACTAGCATAATCTAAAATTATTTACTGAAAATAACTGCGGAATACTTTGTGTCTTTTTTAAAAAAAATTATTTAGTCGGGTCTAGTACTCAACAACTTAAGAGCATCAACTGAAGAAACTGTTCCCTTCCGTGTTGGGTAAATCTGAAAAATAGTGGATTTTATTTTAAAAAGAAAGACATAAACCAATTTTGTTGGCATTTCATGGGGGAAAAAACCCTCAGTACTGCTGTCATCTAAGGTAAAGCACACATGTTTTCAAAGAAAGTTTTAGAAGYGTGTTACAAATACTAAAGTTTTGCCAGTTTCACGCAAGATCCTGATGCAGGCCAGGTTTTAAAAGCTGGACAGACCCAGCTCCACCTAGATGCTCTGATCACAACTGCGTGAACTTATCTCACTTAACATTCTTGTATGACATGATTCATCTTCATTTCCTTTCTTTAATGCAGTTAAAAGTCAACAAAAATAGATAAATGGATTATTCTTTTTTGATAATACAGCTTCAGACTTTCCAGACACCCACTCATTCCTTTGCTCAGAGAAAGTTAGAACTGAGTGCCCATTTTCTGCAGCAGGAGAAACGTGACAGTTCATTAGCTTTTGCTATCCAACTCTAAAACTACAGTCACATCTACCTCCTCTGTCCTATAGAGCTTCTCTGTTATCACAAAGCCTATTCAAAATTTCCCCAAGGGCCAAGACCAACACTTAAAAAGAGTCTAACTTTGCACGGAACCAAAAGCATGCCTTATTACCCAGCATATGACACCCCCGCCCAACCTCATTCTTTCTAGGGCTGTTATTTCAGACCCGGATCAGGTCTCTGTCTGAACACAGCTGGGAGCAGTGATCTCCACCCTGCCCCCCCGGGCCTGCGTAACATTAGTTTCAATCTTTTATTCATTCACTGACAGAAATATCAAAAGGTTTCTTTAAATGACAGCAATATGCCTGGACYACCGGTCTGCCAGAAGGTTTCTTTAGCATTGTGTAAATAACTGGCTGTTACAGAGACACTGCTTTGAAGTTACCATTTGCAGCACCCAGAGCACTTGGGTTGGATCAGTTTTTACTGGGTTACTTTCATGGCAAGCTCTTTTTGTCCCATCTGAAGAGTTTCTTTGTGAGCAATGAATGAGGATGCATCTTGGGAATGGTCTGATACTTCAAAAGATGATTCTTGTAGTTTATCTTGCAGTAAGCTTCTCCTCCAAAGGAAATGCTGCAGAGCCCTTGTACTGATCACAATGACAGTCTTTTATCACTGGGCTCTCTGCACTATCACTATCCAAAGCAAATCTATGCAAGCTATGACTTCTATTAATTTATATATGAGTAGATATTTTCTGTCTTTTATAATGCAAAACTTTTTTCTGCCAACACTTTAAAACAAAGCTGGTCTTGCTGAAGTTCATGCAAGTTTACTCACTGCCTGGTAAGTAACTGCAATTTGGACTATTTTTGGAATGGTAAAGTCAAGAATGTCTTTATGTTTAAAAAACAGAAGTTTCGGGGTTTGGGATTGTTTTGTTTAGCTGTGTTTCCTGTACTAAGTTTCAATGGAGGTAAAAAAAAAGAATTTGAACACCTAAGCAGCTAACCAAAGGTAGACATTAAAATCAGAAAAAGAAAACTGACTAAAACGGATTTAGCAGAAGTTCCTAACCAGCAATCAGTTTGTACGAACAATGAAGACTGACATTTAAAACCACACCGTTTTATCATATTCTAAGCAACACACTCCTATAGTTTTCTACCAGACAGAAGTTAATTTTGACAATGTTCAACACTGAATATTTTAAAACCAATAATTTTTTAACTTAGAAAGACCACAGTCACAGACTTTTTTTTTTTTTTTTTTTTTTTTTAATAAGAAACGAGTGGCACACTAAGTTTGTGAAAGCTATTACTTATGTATGTGGCCATATACTTGATTTATCCTTGAACACAGAATAATTCAATTATTCTAATACTCTTTCGTTTGGCTGCAATGACACTTGGATGCTTACACGAACATAATGCAAACTTGCATGTGGATAAACCCTTAGTCCGAACAACTCTTGCTCACAGCAGTGCCAAGTGTACCAGCTGATGGCTTTGAACTCATCACTTCCAGCATGCAAGTATTAGATACTTGAGCAAATGCACATACTTTACAAAGCAATCCTGGCAATGTTCTCTTACAGGCAAGTCTTTTGCTGTGGTAGGTACACTCTATKTCTGGGTCTTTGCACCTTTTTCCTAAGAAAGCTGCATGATAATGGGAAAACTCCTGTTCAGTTCTGAAGCTGTATTTCTTCATTTTATCCAGAACTTTTCAAAAATGTCCTGCTGGAAACCTTACAACATTCTGCAATTTTAGCTTAAATAAATTAATGGATCAACAGAAACACTCATTGAAACTGCTAGTGACTGGTAACTGGGAAACAAAAGTAAGAGCAATTCAGGAAGAACCTTTCTCTCCTTCTGTTTCAAGTTACATGACCAATCTTCCCTGATCTCAGCAGCCAGATTCTTTCAGTTTTGGTTAGACTACATCCTACATACAAGGAAAAAACTGTCCCTAAACTACAGGTTTATGTATGTTTTATGGGACAAGGATACTTTCCTATGTTTAGCAAGATGACATAATTTTGTTGTTTCCTGCCTTCATTCAGTCTGAAGCCGGATGTCCATAGTTACATTACATAACAATGGGAAGACCCSTGCACAAACTAATAATAAGAATGAACTGCATTTTATCTACACGAGCCACGCTAATTTCTACAATAAGGCGCAAAATGCAAAGTCGATCCTTTCAGTTTCTTTTTTTCACAGTTCTCCCTTTTCTGTCTGTATCATAAGAGTTACTGTCACAGCAGTTGTGATAATCAGATTAGAAAAATGGAAACAAAAGATCAGGAGCAGGCAACAAACCCAAAAGGTACCCACATGCATGCAGCATGGCAGCTCCTCAATATGCTCCAAACTACAGCAGCTGATTCTGGGGGCAAGGCCAGCAAGTGTGGAAATGGGGTCAAAAACAAGGAGATGGCAGGGTTTCTCCAGCATTAATGCAAGCAAGGGCTAAACCTACGGCAAGTGAGCCAAAGACAGCCAGGAGAGCTGGTGGGAGAGGGGCAACAGCAGCAGAAGGCCTCGYGATATTGAGGGGGCTCTTTAACAGCTGGCTTGAGAAACAGCTGTGAYTTTGGCTGCCAGGTCCACTTGAGCTTCCTCCAGCACAGCCCTATTTGGAATCAYCCAGCAACATATGGAAGCAAGCACTGAATCCATATTCACAATGGTGGAAAGTTAGAACATGATGGTGTACCATTTCCATAACTATCAGGGCTTTTTCAGGCAAGATACCCAGGGTTCAGCAAGAGATTGATCTTAAAATGGGTATTTCAGAACTTTAATCCAACCTGTCTGACTTAATGTACAAAGGAARTCGGTATCACTACAGAAGTTTGACTGATGGGAGTTTCAAGAAACTAGCACATATTTATCCCTCAGTAATCAGTCATTACTTAATTTAGAGCCAGTAGTCAGTAACTGATTATTTGAACAACATAATCACAACAACTTCAATCCTGGCTGGAAAGCAATTGTTTTCAGAGACAGGTAACTTCAATTGTAGACATGCTTCAGACTATGTTAAAAGAAAAATAAAAGCTTTCAGAAACTTACCACTGAGGTAAGAGCCATCTGAAAACTGTAGATCCGTGCAAGGCCAAAGTCAGCTAGCTTTATCTGCCCATTGCTGGTTACAAGGATATTTTGGGGTTTCAGATCCCGATGCACCACACGATGAGAATGCAGAAAATCCAGTCCCCGAAACAGCTGAAGCATCATATCCTATATATAAAGAAGAAATCAATGTTCAGTTATCAAGACAAAGTGGCAGGCAAACAAGTAAACCCTCTGTCATAATCTGCAAAACCAATTTAATAAATATTGACTTAAATATGTGCACAGGAGATAAAACAACTATTAATATAAAATGGACAGGATGTTGCTAGAACGAACGGAATTGAACCAATGTCCTCATCAAGTTAATGTATGGTTTTCAGTTGATTATCTAGGTTGATCAGCAGTAATATAAAGATTAGTCAATATTYTTTAAAAATAGCAAAAGCATGTCTCTAAATCCCAGGACTACTTAAAAAAAGTCCAAGTAAGAAAAATACACAGCAGTTTTTTGCTCTTAACTTTAAACCTCTGCATTCTCAGTAGCTTATGCTTTGTCCTGGCATGGTGAAGTGAAATTTTATCATTMATTTTAACAGACACAAGGACCTCTTTCCATCAGAAAAATGGTTTAAATGACAAATTCAATTTTATTTATTGTTACAGAGGGAAAAGTTTCACTTGGCAAGACCTGTTGTATAGAATTTACTGAATAGGACAGAAACTACCTTAAGATGAAAATGTAGCACTAAAACAGTGTAATGATCATAGGTGGCAGTTCTGATTCTTCTTTCTGTTTTATTATAGTGCTCCAATCTTCCATGACATTTCCACAGCTGAAGAAACTATTTTATCTGTACTCAGTTTTGACATTGATCTTAGTCATGTGAAAAGAATGAACCAGCTGACTCAAAACCAAATARTAGAAATCCCCTGAATTCCAAATTAGAAGGATACTGTCAACTTGAAAATTATATTTGCAGAACAGGCAGTTACAAGAAGATGCAGCAATAAGTTTATTTTCTGCATGCACTTGACTTGAATTCATGAAACTGCAGTTCTGTGTATGCATAATCCATGCAGTAGGGTGTCATCCAATCCTGTTGTTAGCACCCAAAATAATCTTGGAGAAGGGCATGGCATGAAATATGAGAAAAAGGAAGAAGGATAAAYTGAAGTTGGTTGCTTTTGTTCTTCTCTGTGGACTTCAGCATGTTGCAAGTAAATATTGAAGGTACACTACTGAAAGGAATTGCATCTGAACATGGGTGTAAAAATAGCTCAAAACGTTCAGCTTGACAATATTGGTTTAGTTGGATGCATTTTTAAGGTACACTTGACAGACATTGCTAAATAATTTAATACAAAATTTTTATTTTCTTGTAATGTTTCTTGACCATCACTACAGAAAATATTATAAAATACACAGACATTAAGTTTGAAAGCTCTCACCTGACCTCTGAAAAAAACATRGTCATTTCTGTATACATCTGGCTCATAAAGCAATCAGCTTTTATCTGAAGATCCTGATGATGGAGATTTTACCATGAAATTATGGATGCTGTGGCAGTATTAAATTATCACCTCTGAAGGGAGGTGGTAAACTGAGAACCCCATTTCCTGTTAGCTGATGCCTTTTATTTCCTTTGCTTCTCCAGAAAAAAATGGGWACTGATTATTTTGACAACTAGTATGTTATGGTTTGGACCTTTAAAAGAAATATACAAAGGGTATTYAATCCTCAGTTGTATTTACATGATYTTYCTTTGCAGTTCAGAAATTTCTAAGAACTAGGGCTACACCTCTGCAGCTTTCAGTCATCAGTACAATTAATGCATGTTACATCTGCTCAATCTGTGCCATTATGACTTTCATCAAATCCTGGTAGTCTTTTGATCAGTCTTACAGATGTGAAGAACATGCCAAGATCATTTAGGCATATAGTTATTTTAAGTATGAACTTGGTTGTTTYACTGGATTTGGGCCTATTTTTTATTTTATTCCAAGCTGACACAATATTAAATAAGAAAATTATTTAAAGAACTCAAGGATTAGTCAGTAGACCCTGGCAAGTCCCTTTCTGGTGACATTTATGTATCCTACTCATTTGTCAACTCTGTAAACTCATTCAGGCAGTCACCAAACATATCAAGAATATTTTTTACAACAACTGATGCTTGTTTTGTTTCAACTTTCTTCCTCAATCTCAGCATAACACAATTCTGCTCATTTTAAGCTGCAAGCAATGTCTTCAGTTTCTAAACTCAGAGTGTCCTTCCAGCCACAAGCAAAAAAAGAAAATATTTGAAAATGGAAACTCATATATCTTTGCCTTTACCTACTGGACTCAAAACATGAATATCATTTACAGAAGTTCTCTTCACACACAGAAAATGAGATGTGCTGCAGAGAAGTGCACTGGAAAAGTGTAAATTTAAAAGGTGTTAGAAGCAAAGCAACTGGAGGGAAGTAAGTACTGTATCTCCTCTTCCAGGAAATTCAGAGTTAGTCCATTTAGGCTATTTTCTAGTATTCAGGTTGGACTGTTAATTACACTTATTACTTAAACTATCAGAAGTATTAACAGATTTCTGTTCAAAATTATCTTGAAAAAACAGCCTGAAGTTTCATGTGTGTAAAGAAGGAAACTTAGATGTAAAAAGACTGCTATTTGTGATTCATTACTGTCCTGTTTTTAAATTCTCAGCAACTTAGAAAAAGAACAGAAGCCAATATCACAACATCGGCTTGTTATGATGAACTTCAAATACAGAATACTCAATGGTGCAGCTTAGAATTTTGTGCTGCACATAAGCCTAGTCAAAAAACATTAGGACTTGGAAAATAATTTCATTCACTTGCAGCCACTTCACCCAAACATYAGACTGGGTCTGGGCTTTGTGCTTTGACTCCGTAACTAACATCAGGAGATACTAACCTTTGCTAGCAAATTGGATAAAGGTCGGAAACATGCACAAGCCAGATCACTACCTAATTAAATAAGGATAATTTCACTCATCTGACRGAAATGCATCCATTTTTATTAGTGACGAAGAGCCAGTATTATCTCCATTACCAGGTTCTAGAAATAACTGYAAGAGCGTCTTCATGTGCCTCAAGGATTAGTTTTTCCCATGTCTGCTTTTTCCTGAGAAATTTTCTGTGGTAGATAGGGATACCACACTTTGGAATAACAGATAAAATCCTGTTTCAAAAGTTAATTGAAAAATGATCAATTCTATTCAACAAACAAGAACCTTCGTGCCTTAGGAGATTGAAGGAACAAGCTCTAATGAGTCATGATCAAACCTCTACTGATGTCTATCAGTATTCTTCGGATATTTTATGTTTGCAAACAAAGACACAGGACGTGCCCATTGTTTCAGATTAGAGGTTTCTGCCATGCTTTAGTATCACAAAACCTATGACAGCTGCTTTTGCTTGAGTTGAAGATATATACATACATCATTCCCCTGCAATTACTTGCTGACAATCAGAACTTTACAATTTTTTTTTCCTTTTCAGGATACATTTTCAATGCCATGCATGTGCAAATATAAAACATTTACCTGTAACTCAAAGGAAGACTATGCAATGAACAATTGCACTTTCTTCAGAGGAAAATACACAGCTTTAATTTTGTAAAAATCTCATAGTGGGAATAGGAGCACAATTTGTTACAGAAAGGCTGCATCTTTGCTTGTTCCACCATATAAGGTATTTACGATGATTGCTCAGTCTGACATTTACTGAATTTCATTTACAGCCCTGAATGTCAGGACCAAATTATGATGAACTTGTCAAGCAATACCATATTAYATAACGAGTCTCAATAATACACAGAAATATGCCCTACATATTCTTCCTCTGTCATCAGTGAGSATGGGGCTGGGCTTGGGCTAGGCTGAGCAGMTGCTTCTGCTGTCCCTGCCAAAGGCAATATTCATGGCTCACATTTCCCAGCTCAGGGGCAGCAGGAATAGAAAGCTCTGATTTCCTACATACTTTTGTCTCCACCTTGTCCTATCCCCTCTTGACTCYACGCTTCACTGACCCCTCTTAACCCTCCTCCAGTATCTGATCCATGAATCCCTTCCAAGCCATTGGCTTTCAAACACCACTCTGATCCTTTAAGAGTCACCCACCATCTTGACTCCCAACAAAAATACCAATGTCAATTATCTGCAGCAACTTACTCCTTATTTAAGTCCAGCCAGATTCTCTGGAGGACTCTGCCTGCCTAATCCAAAAGAGGATGGCATGGCTGTCAACCAAAACATTCAAGTACCTACTCAAAGACAAAAGAAACTATGGAGCTGATTTCAGTGTCRGTGCCTAGGCACCAGCAGCCAGAACTGAACTCAGTCAGGGGAGACCAGGGCTGTGCCCTGCCAGAAACACTCAGCTCCAGCCGGCTCTGACGGACACACSGCAGTGCACGGCTGGGTCCCTCAGCCATGATGCCATGGTGCCTCCATGAGGATTTATTTAAGCACAGAAAATGCTGGAGGGAAAAAGGAGAAGAGAACAAAAATAGTGAGAAACTGCACAGAACATCAAGGTGAGAGAGGAAAAGAGAAGAGCAAGAGAAAGTACTCCATGGTGGAGTACTAAATGGTGGAGCAGATATTCACACTACAGCTCATGGAGCAGGCAGATATTCCTGAGCCAACTGCAGACTATGGAGACAACCGAGGGCAGAGCAGACAAAAGGTGTGAGGAGGAAGGAGCAGGAGAGAGGAGCTGCTCCTGTGCTACTTGAGCTGGGGAGAGTCAGAAGCGATGCGTAACCTGGAAAAAGGCAGGGGAAGGTGTTATTTAAATGCCTACCTTTTTCTTTTTCACTCATCACCTGAATTAGCAATTAAGTATCTACCTTGACTGGCACTGGACTGAGTTAATTTTCCCCAGGATAAGTCTATTTTGCCTATGATGGTGCTTGGAAAGCAATCTTCCTGTTATCCCAGACCATGAATTTTCTTGCTCCTTGTTGCTCTCCACTTTCTGTAGCTGAGGTGGGGGAAGTCAGTGAGAGCCTGGATGGGAGTCTGACTGCTGGACTAGGTTAACCCACCACTGTGGTAAAGTATGGATGCTAGATTTTGTCTTGGTAAACGGGAACAGAGATGTAACCTGAAGGAAAACACCCTGAAGACAGAGTAATGTCT